ACCATTCACCCTCACCACTCACCCTCACCATTCACCCTCACCACTTTCCCTCACCACGCTCCCTCACCACTCACCCTCACCACTCACCAGTCACGCTCACCACTCACCCTCACTACTCACCACTCACCCTCAACACTCACCCTCACCGCTCACCACTCACCCTCAACACTCACCCTCACCGCTCACCACTCACCCTCACCACTCACCCTGACCACTCACCACTCATCCTCACCAATCACACCCTCACCAATCACCACTCACCCTCACTGCTCACCCTCACCGCTCACCCTCACCACTCAGCCTAACCACTCACGCTCACCCTCACCACTCACCCCTCAATAATCACCACTCACAACCGCCACTCACCCTCACCACTCACCACTCACCCTCACCACTCACCCTCACTACTCACCACTCATCCTCACCAATCACACCCTCAACAATCACCACTCACCCTCACCACTCACGCTCAACACTCACCCTCACCACTCATGCTCACCACTAACCCTCACCACTCACCCTCACCACTCACTAATCACCTCTCACAACCGTCACTCACCCTCACCACTCACTCTTACCACTCACCCTCACCACTCACCCTCACAACAACCACTCACCCTCACAACAACCACTCACCCTCACTAATCACCCTCACCACTCATCCTCACCAATCACACCCTCACCAATCACCACTCACCCTCACTGCTCACCACTCAACCTGACCCTCACCATTCACGCTCACCCTCACCACTCACCCCTCACTAATCACCACTAACAACCGCCACTCACCCTCCCCACTCACCCTCACCAATCACCACTCACCCTCACCACTTACCACTCACCCTCACCACTCACTACATACCCTCACCACTCTCCCTCACCACTCTCCCTCACCACTCACCCTCACCACTCACGCTCACCACTCACCCTCACTACTCACCCTAACCACTCACCCTCAACACTCACCCTCACCACTCACCACTCACCCTCACCACTCACCCTGACCACTCACCACTCATCCTCACCAATCACACCCTCACCAATCACCACTCACCCTCACTGCTCACCCTCACCGCTCACCCTCACCACTCACCCTAACCACTCACGCTCACCCTCACCACTCACCCCTCACTAATCACCACTCACAACCGCCACTCACCCTCACCACTCACCCTCACTACTCACCACTCATCCTCACCAATCACACCCTCAACAATCACCACTCACCCTCACCACTCACGCTCAACACTCACCCTCACCACTAACCCTCACCACTCACCCTCACTAATCACCTCTCACAACCGTCACTCACCCTCACCACTCACTCTTACCACTCACCCTCACCCTCACAACAACCACTCACCCTCACTACTCACCCTCACCACTCATCCTCACCAATCACACCCTCACCAATCACCACTCACCCTCACTGCTCACCACTCAACCTCACCCTCACCACTCACGCTCACCCTCACCACTCACTAATCACCACTAACAACCGCCACTCACCCTCACCACTCACCCTCACCAATCACCACTCACCCTCACCACTTACCACTCACTACTCACCCTCACCACTCTCCCTAACCACTCTCCCTCACCACTCACCAGTCACACTCACCACTCACCACTCACGCTCACCACTCACCCTCACTACTCACCCTAACCACTCACCACTCACCCTTAACACTCACCCTCACCACCACCACTCACCCTATTCCCGTTTTAAAAACTTACTTACGTGTCGCCAAGTATTCTTGAGGGTGATTGGTGATTGATGAGGGAGAGTGGTGAGGGTAAGTAGTGATGAATAGTGGTGAGGGTGAGTTGTGAGGGTAAGTGGTGAGGGTGAGTGTGAGTGGTGAGTGGTCAGTGATAGTGAGTGGTGAGTGATAGTGAGTGATAGTGAGTGGAGAGGGTGAGTGGTGATGATGAGTGAGGGAGAGTGGTGAGGGAGTGTTGAGGGTGTATACATTTTTGCCTATGATGACAGCAGTACATGTTGACGTTTTGTATGTTAAATGTAAAAGCTAAATGTGTGAATGTGTGTGTCGGAAATGTTAAGGGCGATCCTAAAGGAATCTACAACCTTCGATGATTCCTTTGCGCGATTCAAAGAATCGATTCCTGGCGCATAGGAGGTTTCCATTTTTAATTACAGAGTTGTATTTTCATTGGTATGTTATGTTTTAAAGTTTTCAGGAGTTTTTAATTATATTTTAGCCCTGGTCAACGCCGGATATTTCCCATTCGTAGCAGTTTATATCAACTCTATAACCAACTTATATTAAATGGAAATAAGGCAATTCTAAATGAATCTACAACCTTCGATTCATTTTCGCGATTCAGAGAATCGATTCTTGGCGCGGTCGGGATTAGAATTTTAATTACACAATTGTATTTTCATTGGTATGTTATGTTTTAAAGTTTTCAGAAGATTTTAAATGTATTTTTCCCCCGGGCAACGCTGGGTATATCGAGTTTATACCACAAAGTCGTCGCCTCAGACGTGTGGGGTGTCGAGGCCTAGTACCGTGCAGAGCCTCCGGCCTCGCCTAGAATGCCCACCCGGCCGAGGCTGGGTGCTGTGGCCGTCACCCGCCCCCCCCCCCCCCTGCCCCGCTACAATAATACTGTCTAATCGCTATTTTTTTTATTATTTACCGACCCTATGATAGTAATTGCACACATTGGGGTGGGGGGGGGAGTGAAGAGGACGTGAAACTTTGATGAATTTACCTCAGCGTCGCGTGTTAATGCGTGTGCATATTTTTAACGGGAATTAAAATGGCGTCCACCCCGCAGCGACGGCGTTGCTGCCAACCGCCCGTTGCCAGGGGCAACCACCTTCCCGCATGCCAGTCGGCAATAGTAAATAAATAAATTAAGAGAAATCGCACTAAATCGATAATCGGTCCGATTTAAAGTTTAGAGACGAAAAATCGGAAATGCCTAAGTTTACCGCGGGCCGGGGGCGTGCCCACTTGCAAAATTTAATCTCGGCGAACCCCACGGTCCGAGAGCTAAATCCCCCGGAAGGGAGCGTACGCAGATGGACGGACAGACAAAAAATGAATTATATAGGTTAGATGGCGCGCCGCGCTACGAACCCGGCGACCCGAGTTCGATTCCCGCTCACGGCCACCACCGGTGACGATTATTTGAACCCTCCTGGGCCTCCCCTAGGTCGACTCAGCCTTAAACGAGTAACTGGTGTGGTGTGTGAACATCGCCACTGGGGAGACAAAGGTGTGGTGTGTGAACATCGCTACTGGGGAGACAAAGGCGGCCGGGCGTGGTGAATCCAAGTCCCACGCGCACACAGCAGCAATCATCGACCCCCCCCCCACTAACTGCCAGCTCGCAGGGCCAGGTGCCGCTGGGGGTGCCCCCTTTCACGTGTTGAGACGAGGTGCCCTGGCGTGGAGAAGCGTCCATCACCTCGCGCCCCTTGTTCTCACCACCACCGCCGCCGCCGTGCATCACACAAGGAAGTACAATACACTGCGTTCGTAGGTGTCGGGAGAAATCCACCCCTACACTTTTATAAAAGACAAAGATCTCCCGTATAGCCTCGACCAAGACTGTTGGGGCAAGTGCTGTTGAAGAGTGGCACCTATGAAGGACGGCACGGCACACGTTGGGGTGGGGTGAACAGCACCACGCCCGGCCGCCTTTGTTTCCAAAGTGCCGATGTTTGTACTGCACACCGCACCAGCTACAAGTGTTTAAGGCTGAGCTGACCTAGGGGAGGTCCGGGACCGATTCCGATAATCGTCACTGGCTCGTAGCACAGCGCGCGAACCACTGCGCCACCGGCTCCATACATTCCCACACACACCACGACATGGCTGTTTCGCCGTGTCATTCGGGTCCACTCACAATCGTCACATCCCGCGACTGCGAGACGCCACCGACACCCGCACGCACTCGCCTTGGCCAAGCCCACAACAGCTGCAAGTCTCTCGTGCAGGCGCGTCCTTATCACTCCTCTATCGCTCGTGCCATGGCGACTGTTCGCGTGAACTTTACACGCCGATTCGTGCGCCCATGTTGAGGGCTCAGGCTACCAAACGTTGCCTCATCTCATCCACCTCACTGCAGGTCACAACTCATCCACCCACCTCACACTCGCAATTAGTCTCTCACCCATCCACTCACCCCCATAATCACGCCCTCACCCACACATCTAACTCACTCCATCACCCACTTATTCACACTTTCAGTCTCTCACCTATCCACTCACGCACCCTGACTCAGTCACTGCCACTCTCCGTCCCACCGTCGCCCGTTTGCCCCCAAGATCTTACGAGAATAACCTTCCTCAATTTACAGATTACTTTAATGGTGCTATTTATTGTTGACCGCTGGACGTGTTGGGCCCTGTGCTCAGCAGCTCATCTTTAACGGCATTCGGAAACCAGCAGCAACCAGAGGTCGCAAACGGGTTTTGATTCCTTACCCGTACCCGGCCGCACCAGGGTCGCAAACGGGTACACGTACGCTACCCGTACCCTACCCGAAATGAGTGACAAACGGTTACTCACGGTCCACCCGTACCCGTACCCGGCCACACCAGGGTCGCAAATGGGTACCCGTATCCGGCCGGGTACGGGTAGCCGGGTATCGGGTAGGGTACGGGTATCGGGTACCCAGTTGAGACCTCTGGCAGTAACTGGGCTTCATTTGTCACCAGTTTTCGTGCCGTCGGTCGACTGGACTAGGAGGCACCAGTTAGGGGTATACTGGATGTGGTGTGCCGGTTACATGAGTATTATCTGGGTCCCTGAACTGGACTGATTTAGCCTGGTCCGACTAAAATGAAGCCCCCAACTCTAACCAACTAGAGTTGCTACAGCGGTGGAGTGGTCAGTGTCACGCCGGACTTGAGATCCAGAGGTCGCCGGTCCGACTCCATCTCCCGGCCCGGCAGGTAAAATCTGGCAAGGTGGTACAGCTGTGGCGAGTGACGCGCTTGCATACAACTCACGAGAACACAGTTTAACATTTTATTGTTTAATAACACAATTCACCCGGCTCAGGATGCTCTGTTTGGACGGGTCCCGGGTCTACAGAACTCACAGTGCCGAAGGGTCACGTGACCTCTGTTAATGATCCGATTGGCGGTTGCCAACCTAGTTTTGGCCCAGGTCCAGTTTAGCTCAGTTCGACGACCCAGAGTCAGGTCCGAGCTGCTACTCTGGGTAAGGTGAGTCAAGCCCAGCTTCGGCTGGGTCCGGTCTGGTCCGGGTTTGGCTGGATCCAGTCCAGGTTGTGATCGGTCCGGTCCAGGCTGGGATGAGTCTGGTCTGGGTTAGAAAGGGTTCGGTCCGGGTTTGGCTGGGTCCTGTCTGGGAATTGGCTGGGTCCGATCTGGGTTGGGAAGAGTCCGGTCCGGGTTTGTATTTGTCCAGTCCGGTCTGCGTTGGAATTGGTCCGGTCCAGGTTGGGATGGGTCCGATCTGGGTTTGGCTGGGTCCGGGTGGGGCTTGTTTGCGTCGGTCTGTGCTGTGCGGGCTCACGCACTGGCCGACCGTGGCAAGGACTGGGAGTCGCTGACGTGCAGCTTCTGTCTGCGACGACGACGGAGTGAGTGAAGGAGAGATGATATCACCGCCCGTGAGATGCACGACACAAAACCCAATGCTGAAGGGAGAACAGCAGTGACGTGGGGAGAGCAGCAGTGACGTGGGGAGAGCGCAGCTGAGCCAGCACTGCACAGCTCAGCCGACAGCCAGGCCCTTTTTCCACTGCAGAAGGCGAGCTGAGCTGTTGCCGACACACACAATGTGTGAATCCAAGCGGCGCGGAGGTGACCGCGGTGCCCTCATAGTGTACCGAGTGACGTCAAACACAATGCATCGTTAGCCCCTCCTCTGGCCTCTGAATCTGGCCCCGACCAGATTCAGATGTCTTCCTGTGAGGCCAGTAGTGTATCATCACGATTTGGTTCTGGCTCAACTCGGCAAATAGCCGGTGTAAAACCACCGCAGGAAGAACATAGAGTCTGCGTGTCTCTCTCCCCGTGGTGGTGTGGATTTTTCTCCGGGTCCTCCGGTTTTTCCCTCCACATTTAGAATCATGCGTTTAGAGTATTTGACTGCTATACAATTCCACATGACAAGCCACTTTTTTGAGCGATCATTTGTGGCCAGGTCGCTTCTAAAAAAGAGCTACATCGGCTCAGTGGGCCTCACCTGGTGAAATAAAAGTATTTTTTAACGAGAGCCCTGCGCGAGCTCGGCTATGCCACTGGAGGAGGAGGTGACGGGGATGCGAGAGGACAGTTCTCGGGGCTGGTGGGCTCAAGTTTGTTCAGGGTAGGAGGGCACGTGTTCGAGGGTCGTGGACTGTATTAGAACGCTCTTCACCTCTCACCGAGCCGAAGCTGTAACTAATGAGAAGTCGCCCCCCATTGGAGACTCTGGGGACAGCAGGCGCAGCGCTACTGGCGTGTGCCGGCGTCACAGACCAAACCTATAAACTCGTCGGGGGTGAGGGCACTTTACCAACAGCGGAACCACGCCAATAGCACACCCCCCTTCCTGCGCAGTGTGCCCCGCGTGGACAACTGCGGGGCACCACGGTGGCTAGGAGATGTTAACTCCATCGCCTGGTATACAGGTGGTAATGGGTTTGATCCCGACCCTGATGCCTGCTGTATATTTGGAGTTTTATCTGGGTTGTTAGGTTTTTCCCTCCACATTTAGAATCAACGTGTGTTTAAGGTATTTGGATGCTATACATTCCACGCGATAAGCCACTTTGTTGAGCTATCATTTGTGAAAGCCAGGTTGCTTCTGAAAAAAGAGCTATATAGCTCACTGGACCTTACCTGGTTAAAAAAAATAGTTTAGTTCTTAGTTTAGATGAGGATACATTGAAGAGCTGAGCTCCTCCAGCTGGAAGACACAAACGGACAGAGACACAGACGGACTTTGTTTAAAAACCAACATGAGAGCTCGGTTAGGGTAGGCAAGACCTGGGTGTCAGTTGCTGAACTCAGGGCCCAAAGGGCGAAAACGTCAAGCGGTTAGTAACAAACAGCACCATAAAAGTTTTCTTTGATAAGTATGTAACACGTTTCTTGAATTGAGCGTCGGTTATGAGGAAGAAAAGATGATGATGACGACTGAAAGAGGAAATTCCCGAGTGGAGCAGTGCAAGGGAAGAATCAGAAAGACGAATGAGGTGACCTGCAGTGTGGTCAGTGAGTGGGTGGGTGAGTGAATGGATGGGTGAGTGGAGTGCTGTTGTGACCTGCAGTGTGGTCAGTGAGTGGGTGGGTGAATGGATGGGTGAATGAGTGGTGTGTGGTGGTGGTTGAACATAGTATGGTGATGGATGAGATGGAACAGTCAGAGTGTCTGTCAGAACGAGTCCTCAACACGGGTGAACTTCACGGGAACAGTAACCGTGGTGGTGGTGGTAGTAGTGGCGACAGAAGAGTGACAAGGAGGCGGACCACCGGTGAGTGAGTGCAGTGACCAGAGTGAATCAGCGAGTGCTGGATCATCCGTCACCCTGACTGCTGCTTTACCCTGAACTCTATCCGGTGGTGCTCCACCGCAGATCTGCAGTGAATAATAACCGCTCAGCCATGTTACCGCCCACCGTCACCAACCCCCCCCCCCCCCCCCGACTCCGAGGTCACAACCCCTCGGCCTGGGGCCGCCCCCCCGACTCACGCACGGCCCCCCGACTCACGTTGGACAGCAGCTGCTCGAGGTTGCGGCTGGCCGCCCCCTTGCGCACCTCCTCTGCCATCGCCTCGCTTTCCACGTCCAGGTCAAAGTGGAGGCGCGCCAGCCTCTCCTGCAGCTCGCGCACGTGCTCCATCTGCTCGAACGAGCACTCGCTCCCTGCTCGCTCGCAAACACAAAGAGAGCGAGCCTCCCCGCCGGACAGTCTTTGACGATGATTCCCGTCATTGATGGAGCTGCTCTCCTTCACGTCTCCAGAGTGCTGCATGCGCACGATAAGCGACTTAATATCATAGTTATTAATGTTTATACAGCGTCGTTCATGCAAAACTACATCTCACGACGCTGTGCATGACGGAAAAGCAATAAAATCGACAAAGAAAGGATATTGCGCCTATGAAGGATGACACAGAGCACGAGAAAAAGGTATGGCCAGCATCATTCCCAGCCACCTTTGTCTCCTCAGTGCTGATGTTTTTTGACACCGCACCAGGTACAGGGTTCAAATAATCGTCACCGACGGTGGCCGTAAGCGGGAATCAAACTTGGGTCAACTTGGGCCCCTAAGAGGCCTGTAAACCAGTGGCCGGTTTGCTCAGTTTCCCAGCGAAGAGAACGACCCACCCCTGCCCCACCCACTCCCACCCACTCCGTACCGAAGGCCTGCAGCTTGCCGCAGTGGAAGTCGTTGAGGAGGTTAACGAGGCCGCGCTCCATCTCCCGCACCTCCGACACGTCCGTCAGGAACGAGTGCTGCTGCGTGGGTCCAGCCACGGCTGCCACCGGCCCCTTGGGTGGCGCGCCGGGGGCCACGGCGCCGGCCGTGGCGGCAGCGGGTATGGGGGCACCGGCGCGGTGGTGGCCTGTGGCGGCGGAGGTGCGGGGCTTGGCCGCTCTGCTAGAGATGGCGATGGGCACGCAGACACGGGGGAGTTACGGTAAGCTCGTGGTATGGCTAAGGGGGATGGGACAGGTGTGTGAGGTGTGCGTCACCCCTTAGGCTTGGCGGTGTGTACACGATGTGCAAATAGTGTGTGCATAGTGTGTGTGTGTGGCGTGTGTGTATAGTGTGTGTGAATCGAGTCTGTAAATAGAGGGTGTGTATAGTGTGTTTGGAGTGTGTAGTGTATTTGTGGAGTGTGTTTAATGTATGTATAGTGTGTATATAGCAAGCGCGGTTCGTCCACTAGGGGCGTCAGTCAGAGTATCCATTCGCCTTGAGAGCCTGGTGTACGTGTTTGAGATCACTGGTCAGGTGTTCATGGTCGGAGATACATTGAACTCTATGGTGTAGCGTTTTGATGAGGGAATTCTTCTGGGATGGATGGTGGTGGGAACAGGTTTTAGGTGTGGAAAGTGAGTGTGTGTATAGTGAGTGTGTGTATAGCGTGTGTGTGTATCGTGTGTATATAGTTTGTGTATGAGTGTGTAGTGTGTATAGTGTGTATAGTGAGTGTGTGCAGTGTGTATAGTGTGTAGTGAGTGTGTGTATAGTGTGTGTGTATAGTTTGTGTATAGCGTGTGTGTGTGTATAATGTGTGTGTATAGTGTGTGTGTGTATAGTGAGTGTGTGCAGTGTGTGTATAGTGTGTGTACAGTGTGTTTATAGTATGTAATGTGTGTGTGTGTAGTGTGTATAGTGAGTGTGTATAGTGTGTGTATTGTGAGTATATAGTGTGTAGTGTGTGTGTAGTGTGTATAGTGTGTGTGTAGTGTGTGTACAGTGTGTTTATACTGGTAGGAACGAAGTGGACCAGCCTACAATAGATTATTTCGTCCGTCCGTCCGATGTCCGATTACGTGTAGCAACATCGTCCCCTACTGAAAACACTTGGCATGACCCTACAAAAACCTTTAGACTCTGTGAGGCTTTCCTGGCTAAACAAGTGTAACATTCCCTTATAATTCCCTCAGATAGCTTTTAATTAAAACATTTAAATTAATGAGGCTTTCCTGGCTAAACACGTGTAACATTCCCTTATAATTCCCTGAGATAGCTTTTAATTAAAACTTTGAAATTAAATAAAAAAAACTCACACCGCCCTAAAGCCTACAGCTAGGCCTAAAGCCTAGAACTAGGCCTCACAGTCTCCCTTCGTATCGTACCCCCGCGTGTGTGAAAGGGAGTTGATGTTTAACAATGTTACATTCCCTGATGTTTTAAAATAGAAACATTTACATTTAAAGCTTTTACATTAATAATTAAAACATTTCAATTATACATTAATAATTAAAACATTTAAATGTGTAGTGTGTGTGTGTAGTGTGTGTGTGTAGTGTGTGTGTATAGCGAGTGTGTGTAGTGTGTGTGTATAGTGTGTGTGTGTAGCGTGTGTGTGTAGTGTGTGTGTATAGCGAGTGTGTGTAGTGTGTGTGTATAGTGTGTGTGTGTATAGTGTGTGTGTGTAGTGTGTGTGTATAGCGAGTGTGTGTAGTGTGTGTGTATAGTGTGTGTGTGTGGTGTGTGTGTAGTGTGTGTATAGCGAGTGTGTGTAGTGTGTGTATAGTGTGTGTGTGTAGTGTGTGTGTGTGGTGTGTGTGTATAGTGTGTGTGTGTAGTGTGTGTGTATAGTGTGTGTGTGTAGTGTGTGTGTGTAGTGTGTGTGTATAGTGTGTGTGTGTATAGTGTGTGTGTGTAGTGTGTGTGTATAGTGTGTGTGTGTAGTGTGTGTGTATAGTGTGTGTGTGTAGTGTGTGTGTAGTGTGTGTATAGCGAGTGTGTGTAGTGTGTGTATAGTGTGTGTGTGTAGTGTGTGTGTGTGTGGTGTGTGTGTATAGCGAGTGTGTGTAGTGTGTGTGTATAGTGTGTGTGTGTAGTGTGTGTGTGTAGTGTGTGTGTGTAGTGTGTGTGTATAGTGTGTGTGTAGTGTATATAGCGAGTGAGTGTGTGTGGAGTGTGTGTGTAGTGTGTGTGTATAGTGTGTGTGTATAGCGAGTGTGTGTAGTGTGTGTGTATAGTGTGTGTGTGTGTAGTGTGTGTGTGTAGTGTGTGTGTAGTGTATGTGTATAGTGTGGGTGTGTAGTGTGGGTGTGTAGTGTGGGTGTGTAGTGTGTGTGTGTAGCGTGTGTGTGTAGCGTGTGTGTGTAGCGTGTGTGTGTAGTGTGTGTGTATAGTGTGTGTGTGTAGCGTGTGTGTGTAGTGTGTGTATAGTGAGTGTGTGTAGTGTGTGTGTATAGTGTGGGTGTGTAGTGTATATAGCGAGTGAGTGTGTGTGTAGTGTGTGTGTATAGCGAGTGTGTGTAGTGTGTGTGTATAGTGTGGGTGTGTAGTGTATATAGCGAGTGAGTGTGTGTGTAGTGTGTGTGTGTAGTGTGTGTGTGTAGTGTATATAGCGAGTGAGTGTGTGTCTAGTGTGTGTGTATAGTGTGTGTAGTGTGTGTATAGTGTGTGTGTATATAGTGTGTGTAGTGTGTGTATAGTGTGTGTGTGTATAGTGTGTGTGTGTAGTGTGTGTGTATAGTGTGTGTGTGTATAGTGTGTGTGTAGTGTGTGTGTATAGCGAGTGTGTGTGTAGTGTGTGTGTATTGTGTGGGTGTGTAGTGTATATAGCGAGTGAGTGTGTGTGTAGTGTGTGTGTGTATAGTGTGTGTGTAGTGTATATAGCGAGTGAGTGTGTGGTGTGTGTGTGTAGTGTGTGTGTGTAGTGTATATAGCGAGTGAGTGTGTGTGTAGTGTGTGTGTATAGTGTGTGTATATAGTGTGTGTAGTGTGTGTGTATAGTGTATAGTGTGTGTGTATAGTGTGTGTGTGTAGTGTGTGTATAGTGTGTGTAGTGTGTGTATAGTGTGTGTGTGTAGCGAGTGTGTAGTGTGTGTGTATAGTGTGTGTGTATAGCGAGTGAGTGTGTGTGTAGTGTGTGTGTGTAGTGTGTGTGTAGTGTGTGTGTATAGTGTGTGTATAGTGTGTGTGTAGTGTATATAGCGAGTGAGTGTGTGTGTAGTGTGTGTGTATAGTGTGTGTAGTGTGTGTGTATATAGTGTGTGTGTAGTGTATATAGCGAGTGAGTGTGTGTGTAGTGTGTGTATAGTGTGTATAGTGTGTGTGTGTAGCGAGTGTGTCGACATTGTGCGGGTAGCCAGGGTCGGCCAGCGCCCCCCACTCACCCCTTGGGCTTGGCGGGCTGCTGCTGCAGCTGCTGCCGGGGCGAGTTGGCGGTGCCGGGCGGGCTGCTGCTGCCGCCGCCGCCGCTGAACGTGGCGCTTTTGCTGCCCGTGACGGCGGCGGCGGCGCCGCGGGCAGCCGCCGTCGGCGCGGGGGCCCCGCCGGGGTTCTGGTGGGGTCCGGGCTGAGCGCCGCCGGAGAACGACGACTTGGGGCTCCTTCGTCTCTTACGATCCTCCATTGGTCCTCACCCTGCACACACCACGGGTGAGGGGTGGGTGGGGTGAGTGGAGGGGAATCTACTTGTATATTATGGTTATTACACCCGCAGTGTTAACCAGGACGGCTCACGCAATTACACCGCAGACTGCTGTATGCAGTGTAGGGTCTGAGGTGGTGAGTGTGAAGTGGTGAGTGGGTGAGTAACCCAAACACGACTCCACCCGAGTCCTCGCTCACACCTTTCCGGCCACTGTGGATCCTCTCAACTCCCAGGCTGAGGGTTCACCTCGCCCGGGGTCCTGGGTCTCCGCAACCCGGGCCCCTCTCGGCTCTCAGCCCTCAAAGAGACCCCTGTCGGGCCCCTATCGGCGCCGTGAGAGCCCCACAGGCCTAGCCCAGGCCGGGAGCGAGGCCTCGGCTCTGCGCTGCCCAAGGGCCCGGATAACGCTGCCTCTCACCAACCCCCTCACCAACCCCCTCACCAACCCCCTCATCAACCCCCTCACCAACGCCTCTCACCAACCCCCTCACCAACCCCCTCACCAACCCCCTCACCAACGCCTCTCACCAACCCCCTCACCAACCCCCTCACCAACGCCCTCACCAACGCCTCTCACCAACCCCCTCACCAACACCTCACCAACCCCCTCACCAACCCCCTCACCAACGCCCTCACCAACGCCTCTCACCAACGCCCCTCACCAACACCTCTCACCAACCCCCTCACCAACCCCCTCACCAACACCTCTCACCAACCCCCTCACCAACCCCCTCACCAACGCCTCTCACCAACCCCCTCACCAACCCCCTCACCAACCCCCTCACCAACGCCGCTCACCAACGCCCCTCACCAACACCTCTCACCAACCCCCTCACCAACCCCCTCACCAACACCTCTCACCAACCCCCTCACCAACCCCCTCACCAACCCTCTCACCAACCCCCTCACCAACCCCCTCACCAACCCCCTCACCAACCCCCTCACCAACCCTCTCACCAACCCCCTCACCAACCCCCTCACCAACCCCCTCACCAACCCCCTCACCAACCCCCTCACCAACCCTCTCACCAACCCCCTCACCAACCCCCTCACCAACACCTCTCACCAACCCCCTCACCAACGCCTCTCACCAACCCCCTCACCAACCCCCTCACCAACACCTCTCACCAACCCCCTCACCAACCCCCTCACCAACACCTCTCACCAACCCCCCTCACCAACCCCCTCACCAACGCCTCTCACCAACCCCCTCACCAACCCCCTCACCAACGCCTCTCACCAACCCCCTCACCAACACCTCTCACCAACCCCCCTCACCAACCCCCTCACCAACGCCTCTCACCAACCCCCTCACCAACCCCCTCACCAACGCCTCTCACCAACCCCCTCACCAACGCCTCTCACCAACACCTCTCACCAACCCCCTCACCAACCCCCTCACCAACGCCTCTCACCAACCCCCTCACCAACCCCCTCACCAACACCTCTCACCAACACCTCTCACCAACCCCCTCACCAACCCCCTCACCAACGCCTCTCACCAACACCTCTCACCAACCCCCTCACCAACCCCCTCACCAACGCCTCTCACCAACCCCCTCACCAACACCTCTCACCAACCCCCTCACCAACCCCCTCACCAACACCTCTCACCAACACCTCTCACCAACCCCCTCACCAACCCCCTCACCAACGCCTCTCACCAACCCCCTCACCAACCCCCTCACCAACGCCTCTCACCAACCCCCTCACCAACACCTCTCACCAACCCCCTCACCAACCCCCTCACCAACGCCTCTCACCAACACCTCTCACCAACCCCCTCACCAACCCTCTGCGCAATCTCCCTCCCAGCCCCTCTCATCGTCCCCCCCCCCCCCCTCTCGCGCCCCCCCGCCTCTCGCGCTCCCCCCCCCTCTCGCGCTCCCCCCCCCCTCTCGCGCTCCCCCCCCCCCTCTCGCGCTCCCCCCCCCCTCTCGCGCTCCCCCCCCCTCTCGCGCTCCCCCCCTCTCGCGCTCCCCCCCTCTCAGCGCTCCCCCCCCCCTCTCGCGCTCCCCCCCCCCCTCTCGCGCTCAACCCCCCCTCTCGGCGCCTCCCCCCCTCTCGCGCTCCCCCCCCCCCTCTCGCGCTCGCCCCCCCCCCTCTCGCGCTCCCCCCCCCTCTCGCGCTCCCCCCCTCTCGCGCACCCCCCCTCTCGCGCTCCCCCCCCCCCTCTCTCACGCCCCCCTCTCTCACGCTCCCCCCCCTCTCTCACGCCCCCCCCTCTCTCACGCCCCCCCCTCTCTCACGCTCCCCCCCTCTCTCACGCCCCCCCCCCCTCTCACGCCCCCCCCCCTCTCTCAACGCCCCCCCCTCTCTCACGCCCCCCCCCCTCTCTCACGCTCCCCCCCCTCACGCTCCCCCCTCTCACGCTCCCCCCTCTCACGCTCCCCCTCTCTCACGCTCCCCCCCCTCACGCTCCCCCCCCTCACGCTCCCCCCTCTCTCACGCTCCCCCCCCTCACGCTCCCCCCTCTCTCACGCTCCCCCCTCTCACGCTCCCCCCTCTATCACGCCCCCCCTCTCTCACGCTCCCCCCCCCCTCTCTCTCACGCTCCCCCCCCCCCTCTCTCACGCTCCCCCTCTCACCTCCCCCCTCTATCACGCCCCCCCTCTCACGCTCCCCCCTCTATCACGCGCCCCCCCTCTCTCACGCTCCCCCCCCCCTCTCTCACGCTCCCCCCCCCCTCTCTCACGCTCACGCTCCCCCCCCCCTCTCTCACGCTCCCCCCCCCTTCTCACGCTCCCCCCCCCCTCTCTCACGCTCCCCCCCCCCCCCTCTACGCTCCCCCCCCCCTCTCTCACGCTCCCCCCCCTCTCTCACGCTCCCCCCCCTCTCTCACGCTCCCCCCCCTCTCACGCTCCCCCCCCCTCTCACGCTCCCCCCCCCTAGCACGCCCCCCCTCTCTCACGCTCCCCCCCCTCTCTCACGCTCCCCCCCCCCTCTCTCACGCTCCCCCCCCCCTCTCTCAACGCTCCCCCCCCCCTCTCTCACGCTCCCCCCCCCTCTCTCACGCTCCCCCCCCCTCTCTCACGCTCCCCCCCCCTCTCTCACGCTCCCCCCCCCCCCTCTCTCACGCTCCCCCCCCTCTCTCACGCTCCCCCCCCTCTCTCACGCTCCCCCCCCTCTCTCACGCTCCCCCCCCCTCTCTCACGCTCCCCCCCCCCTCTCTCACGCTCCCCCCCCCCTCTCTCACGCTCCCCCCCCTCTCCTCACGCTCCCCCCCCTCTCTCACGCTCCCCCCCCCCTCTCACGCCCCCCCCCCCCCTCTCTCACGCTCCCCCCCCCCCCCTCTCTCACGCTCCCCCCCCCCCTCTCACGCTCCCCCCCCCTCTCTCACGCTCCCCCCCCTCTCTCACGCTCCCCCCCCTCTCTCACGCTCCCCCCCCCTCTCTCCACGCTCCCCCCCCCTCTCTCACGCTCCCCCCCCTCTCTCACGCTCCCCCCCCCTCTCTCACGCTCCCCCCCCCTCTCTCACGCTCCCCCCCTCTCTCACGCTCCCCCCCCCCCTCTCTCACGCTCCCCCCCCCCCCTCTCTCACGCTCCCCCCCCCTCTCTCACGCTCCCCCCCCCCTCTCTCACGCTCCCCCCCCCTCTCTCACGCTCCCCCCCCTCTCTCACGCTCCCCCCCCTCTCTCACGCTCCCCCCCCTCTCTCACGCTCCCCCCCTCTCTCACGCTCCCCTCTCTCACCCTCCCCTCGATCGGGTCGAGCCTCTCGCGGCTCTCCTCTTCCGCCTCCGCCCCGCTGCGTCTCACAACCGTGGAGCCCCCCCCCCCCCACGCCTCGCCCCGGCCCACGCCGCCTGGTGGCCACCCTCACGCATTGCTCCCGTGAGGGTCCGTGAGGGGTGAAGTCTTCTTCGTCTGCGAGAGTTGGACACTCCTCGGGGAGCGGGGGGGGGGGTTCCCCTACGATGGCAAATAGCGGTAACAATAATACAGGAATATCACGATGGAGAAAATATAAATGAGCGCAAAAAACAACCGCATCGCAAAAGGAAAAAAAAACGTGAATCAGAGGGTCTGAAAGTCCTGTCTGGCCCTCAAAGACCCCCTGGAGTAAGGGGGTTTTGTGCGGAAACCATTGAACAAAGACGGTCACTGCATCGCGCGCTGCTTTTAAGGCCGTCTGGAACGTTCTTCATTCCGTTATCAGGAAGCCACTGGGAGCTATGCACTTTTACATGCTCTAGATTGACAAGTTATTTCTTAAGAGGTTTAGATCGCGCAAATATAAATGTTTCGTTAAACCCGCCACCACCCGACAAAGACAATTTGTAAGGTTTGTCACGTAAACGAAACGTGCCAATTCGTTACTCGTTCAGCTGAACTAGTAACGAGTTGGTATGTTTTGTTTACGTGACAAACCTCACTAATTGGCTTTGTAGGGCGGTGGTGGGTTTAACGACACGTTTATGTTCACGCGATCTAACCCAGAACCCTCTATTGTGGATATTGGTCGCGAAAGCCTCCGTGTTCAACTTATTTCTGAAGGACTGTTTTTGTTTGTTGTCCTCCCCTCGCACCTCCGATTATCACGGTTGGCTACGTACAGTGCGAAAAAGTTCAACATGCAGGACATACTCCTCGGCCACTGCACTTGACCCATCGCCGACACATGACTAATGTTGATGTAGAACAAAAACTGTCATTTAAAATCGAGGCGGTTGAGCCAGATGATTGCGTCAGGAGTAGCGGAGTGAATCAGGCGTTGAGTCGTTAAATGTCCCAAGGTTTTCTCTGGTTGACCACAGTCCAGTTTCTGGACCAGGATGTCCTTTGTCTTCGCCGCTACCTTCTTAAAGGTGAACATGTAAGGTTGGCGTGAGGTCCAGCTTCACTCCGAGATAGGTCAGTGGGGTCATGTTGGATGTCTTTGTTGAGCGGCCTTTTGTGGAGTGGAGGAACCAGTCAAACGGCCTTGTTTTTAAATCAGCTACGTAACGCTGTGCGGAAGCTACAAAACCCTGCCGCTTCAAATAAAGCTGCGGCTCTTCGCGGTCACACTGATGTCGTCCCTTTTTGTATATGCTTGGGAAACGTCCAGCCATGGTAAAGGAACATCTGCACTGGTTTGAAACATTTAGGCCAGCCTGTCTGCGATCTGTCCTGAGTTTGACCAGACTATTGTGTAAGGAGCTCACAGATCCATCAGTGAGCTCCTCCGGCAGGCGAGGCTGCGTTAGCGAGATAATTTAGCCCGCATGCCCAGCTACCGCATGCCCAAGCAGTTCATGTCTGGCCGGATAGAGTGGGCGAAACGGTCACGGCGTGGGTTAGATGTGGTGCAGAAGAATGTGGAGCCGAGTGGCCTTTCCAAAGTCAGGTACATAACCAGCGGTGTCAAGATCGGGGAGAGTTGATGGGAGGGAGTTGAGAGCCTCACCTGTGAGTGGGAGGGAGGTGTGGGGGAGGAGTGCGAGGGAGTGTGGGGAGGGGGCAGAGACGAGGGTGAGTGGGGGTAGGGGAGGGTTGATGGGAGGGAGTTGAGAGCCTCACCTGTGAGGGGGAGGGAGGTGTGGGAGAGGAGTGAGAGAGTGTGGGGGAAGAGGCAGAGACGAGGGTGAGTGGGGGGTAGAGGAGGGTTGATGGGAGGGAGTTGAGAGCCTCACCTGTGAGTGGGAGGGAGGGAGGTGTGGGGGAGGAGTGAGAGAGTGTGGGGGGAGAGGCAGAGACGAGTGTGAGTGGGGGGTAGGGGAGGGTTGATGGGAGGGAGTTGAGAGCCTCACCTGTGAGTGGGAGGGAGGTGTGGGGGAGGAGTGAGAGAGTGTGGGGGAAGAGGCAGAGACGAGGGTGAGTGGGGGGTAGGGGAGGGTTGATGGGAGGGAGTTGCGAGCCTCACCTGTGAGTGGGAGGTGTGAGGGAGGAGTGAGAGAGTGTGGGGGGAGAGGCAGAGACGAGGGTGAGTGGGGGGAAGGGGAGGGTTGATGGGAGGGAGTTGAGAGCCTCACCTGTGAATGGGAGGGAGGGAGGTGTGGGGGAGGAGTGAGGGAGTGTGGGGGGAGAGGCAGAGACGAGGGTGAGTGGGGGTAGGGGAGGGTTGATGGGAGGGAGTTGAGAGCCTCACCTGTGAATGGGAGGGAGGTGTGGGGGAGGAGTGAGAGAGTGTGGGGGAGAGGCAGAGACGAGGGTGAGTGGGGGGTAGGGGAGGGTTGATGGGAGGGAGTTGAGAGCCTCACCTGTGAGGGGGAGGGAGGTGTGGGGGAGGAGTGAGAGAGTGTGGGGGGAGAGGCAGAGACGAGGGTGAGTGGGGGTAGGGGAGGGTTGATGGGAGGGAGTTGAGAGCCTCACCTGTGAATGGGAGGGAGGGAGGTGTGGGGGAGGAGTGAGAGAGTGTGGGGGGAGAGGCAGAGACGAGGGTGAGTGGGGGGTAGGGGAGGGTTGATGGGAGGGAGTTGAGAGCCTCACCTGTGAGTGGGAGGGAGGGAGGTGTGGGGGAGGAGTGAGAGAGTGTGGGGGGAGAGGCAGAGACGAGGGTGAGTGGGGGTAGGGGAGGGTTGATGGGAGGGAGTTGAGAGCCTCACCTGTGAGTGGGAGGGAGGGAGGTGTGGGGGAGGAGTGAGGGAGTGTGGGGGGAGAGGCAGAGACGAGGGTGAGTGGGGGTAGGGGAGGGTTGATGGGAGGGAGTTGAGAGCCTCACCTGTGAGTGGGAGGGAGGGAGGTGTGGGGGAGGATAGAGGGAGTGTGGGGGGAGAGGCAGAGACGAGGGTGAGTGGGGGTAGGGGAGGGTTGATGGGAGGGAGTTGAGAGCCTCACCTGTGAGTGGGAGGGAGGGAGGTGTGGGGGAGGAGTGAGAGAGTGTGGGGGGAGAGGCAGAGACGAGGGTGAGTGGGGGGTAGGGGAGGGTTGATGGGAGGGAGTTGAGAGCCTCACCTGTGAGTGGGAGGGAGGGAGGTGTGGGGGAGGAGTGAGGGAGTGTGGGGGGAGAGGCAGAGACGAGGGTGAGTGGGGGTAGGGGAGGGTTGATGGGAGGGAGTTGAGAGCCTCACCTGTGAGTGGGAGGGAGGTGTGGGGGAGGAGTGAGTGGAGGCGGCGCGTGGGGGACGCGGTGGGGGAGGGTGACGCGGCGGCGGCGGCGGGATGAGGGCTGCTGCTGCTGCTGGCTGGAGGTAGGGGGAGGGGAGAGAAGAGGAGGAGGAGAGGGGTCTCGCCTCGTTTCCCCGGGACTGGGAGAGTGGAACATGGCGGTGGCGAGTGCTACAAGTGGCCGTCGGGACGCGCTGCAGTGAAGTGGCCGCCACGATGCCCTTCTACAGCCGCGTGGTCGAGCCGCGCCACCTGGGCCGCCGCCACCGCGCGGGAGACGAAGCGGCGCTTCCCCTTCGCCATGGCGTGGAGCTGCGGGACGGAGCGAACCGGGGTCTGGTGGGGCTGCTGCGGCAGCTGGGAGAGCTGAGCCGGCACGCCGAGGGGGTCCTGGCGGGGCTCGAGGAGGAGGCGAGTGCCGTGGGGGGCCGCGCGGGGCTCCTGGCGGCCCGCGTGGGCGCGCTCGGCACGGCCGTGGCCGCTCTGGATGCCAAGCGGGTTCGAGTCCGTGAGTGTCTCCCCCTCACCACTACTCACCAATACTCACCACTACTCACTCCACTACTCACCACTACTCACTCCACTACTCACACTGCCCCCTCAACACTGCTCACCACTACTCATCACTACTCACTCCACTACTCACACTGCCCCCTCACCACTACTCACCACTACTCACTCCACTACTCATCTCACTCCACCTACTCACTCCACTACTCACACTGCCCCTCACCACTGCTCACCACTACTCACCACTGCCCCCCACCCTGCTCACCACTACTCATCCACTACTCACTCCCTATCATCACACTGCCCCCTCACCACTACTCACCACTACTCCACTCAATACTCACACGTGCCCACTCACCACTACTCCACCACTACTCACTCCACTACCTCACACTGCCCCCCTCACCACTACTCGCCACTACTCACACTGCCCCCTCACCACTGCTCACCACTACTCACCACTACTCACTCCACTACTCACACTGCCCCCTCACCACTACTCACCACTACTCACTCCACTACTCACCACTACTCACCACTATTCACACTGCCGCTCACCACTGCTCACTCCACTACTCACACTGCCCCTCACCACTACTCACCACTACTCACTCCACTACTCACCACTACTCACCACTATTCACACTGCCCCTCACCACTGCTCACTCCACTACTCACACTGCCGCTCACCACTACTCACCACTACTCACTCCACTACTCACACTGCCCCCTCACCACTACTCACTCCACTACTCACCACTACTCACCACTACTCACACTGCCCCTCACCACTACTCACCACTACTCACCACTGCTCACTCCACTACTCACACTGCCCCTCACCACTACTCACTCCACTACTCACACTGCCCCTCACCACTGCTCACTCCACTACTCACACTGCCCCTCACCACTACTCACTCCACTACTCACACTGCCCCTCACCACTACTCACTCCACTACTCACACTGCCCCTCACCACTGCTCACTCCACTACTCACACTGCCCCTCACCACTACTCACTCCACTACTCACACTGCCCCTCACCACTACTCACTCCACTACTCACACTGCCCCTCACCACTACTCACTCCACTACTCACACTTACACGATCACCTCTCACGCAGATTGCCAGCTACCGGCTCCAGCGAATACAAACAAATACGCCGCACGCACACGCCGCACACCCAACACAATACACTACACATTGTGTGCACTGTATAGAGACAATACACAGCTTATATACACAACATGTAGAACTTGTAGTTGAACACAACTTGTATTTACACACACATACCACTTTTATACCAAACTTTTTACACACAACGCATATTCGCAACACAACTTTTACACACAACACACACACACACACCACACATACACCCAACACACACAACACTTGTACACACACACAACACATACAACGTCTATACACACCACCACCACCGCCACAGACTATACACCACAACACACAACTTATACACCACGACACACAACTTATACACCACGACACGCAACTTATACACCACGACACGCAACTTATACACCACGACACACAACTTATACACCACGACACACAACTTATACACCACGACACACAACTTATACACCACGACACGCAACTTATACACCACGACACGCAACTTATACACCACGACACACAACTTATACACCACGACACACAACTTATACACCACGACACACAACTTATACACCACGACACACAACTTATACACCACGACACACAACTTATACACCACGACACACAACTTATACACCACGACACACAACTTATACACCACGACACACAACTTATACACCACGACACGCAACTTATACACCACGACACACAACTTATACACCACGACACACAACTTATACACCACGACACACAACTTATACACCACGACACACAACTTATACACCACGACACACAACTTATACACCACGACACACAACTTATACACCACGACACACAACTTATACACCACGACACACAACTTATACACCACGACACACAACTTATACACCACGACACGACAACTTATACACCACGACACACAACTTATACACCACGACACACAACTTATACACCACGACACACAACTTATACACCACGACACACAACTTATACACCAGACACACAACTTATACACCACGACACACAACTTATACACCACGACACACAAACTTATACACCACGACACACAACTTATACACCACGACACACAACTTATACACCACGACACACAACTTATACACCACGACACACAACTTATACACCACGACACACAACTTATACACCACGACACACAACTTATACACCACGACACGCAACTTATACACCACGACACACAACTTATACACCACGACACACAACTTATACACCACGACACACAACTTATACACCACGACACACAACTTATACACCACGACACACAACTTATACACCACGACACACAACTTATACACCACGACACACAACTTATACACCACGACACACAACTTATACACCACGACACGCAACTTATACACCACGACACACAACTTATACACCACGACACACAACTTATACACCACGACACACAACTTATACACCACGACACACAACTTATACACCACGACACACAACCTTATACACCACGACACACAACTTATACACCACGACACACAACTTATACACCACGACACACAACTTATACACCACGACACACAACTTATACACCACGACACGCAACTTATACACCACGACACGCAACTTATACACCACGACACGCAACTTATACACCACGACACACAACTTATACACCACGACACACAACTTATACACCACGACACACAACTTATACACCACGACACACAACTTATACACCACGACACACAACTTATACACCACGACACGCAACTTATACACCACGACACGCAACTTATACACCACGACACGCAACTTATACACCACGACACACAACTTATACACCACGACACACAACTTATACACCACGACACACAACTTATACACCACGACACACAACTTATACACCACGACACGCAACTTATACACCACGACACGCAACTTATACACCACGACACACAACTTATACACCACGACACACAACTTATACACCACGACACACAACTTATACACCACGACACACAACTTATACACCACGACACACAACTTATACACCACGACACACAACTTATACACCACGACACGCAACTTATACACCACGACACACAACTTATACACCACGACACACAACTTATACACCACGACACACAACTTATACACCACGACACACAACTTATACACCACGACACACAACTTATACACCACGACACACAACTTATACACCACGACACGCAACTTATACACCACGACACACAACTTATACACCACGACACACAACTTATACACCACGACACACAACTTATACACCACGACACACAACTTATACACCACGACACACAACTTATACACCACGACACACAACTTATACACCACGACACACAACTTATACACCACGACACACAACTTATACACCACGACACGCAAACTTATACACCACGACACACAACTTATACACCACGACACACAACTTATACACCACGACACACAACTTATACACCACGACACACAACTTATACACCACGACACACAACTTATACACCACGACCACAACTTATACACCACGACACACAACTTATACACACGACACACTATACACACGACACAACTTATACACCACGACACACAACTTATACACCACGACACGCAACTTATACACCACGACACACAACTTATACACCACGACACACAACTTATACACCACGACACAACGTATACACCACGACACACAACTTATACACCACGACACACAACTTATACACCACGACACACAATTTATACACCACGACACACAACTTATACAACACGACACACAACTTATACACCACGACACGCAACTTATACACCACGACACACAACTTATACAACACGACACACAACTTATACACCACGACACACAACTTATACAACACGACACACAACTTATACACCACGACACACAACTTATACACCACAACACACAACTTATACACCACAACACACAACTTATACACCACGACACACAACTTATACACCACGACACACAACTTATACACCACGACACACAACTTATACACCACGACACACAACTTATACACCACGACACACAACTTATACACCACAACACACAACTTATACACCACGACACACAACTTCTACAACACGACACGCAACTTATACAACACGACACACAACTTATACACCACGACACGCACCTTATGCACCACGACACACAACTTATAGACCACGACACACAACTTATACACCACGACACGCAACTTATACACCACGACACACAACTTATACACCACGACACACAACTTATACACCACGACACACAACTTATAGACCACGACACACAACTTATACACCACGACACACAACTTATACACCACGACACACAACTTATACACCACGACACACAACTTATACACCACGACACACAACTTATACACCACGACACACAACTTATACACCACGACACACAACTTATAGACCACGACACACAACTTATACACCACGACACGCAACTTATACACCACGACACACAACTTATACACCACAACACACAACTTATACACCACGACACACAACTTATAGACCACGACACACAACTTATACACCACGACACACAACTTATACACCACGACACACAACTTATACACCACGACACACATCTTATACACCACGACACACAACTTATACACCACGACACACAACTTATACACCACGACACACAACTTATACACCACGACACACAACTTATACACCACGACACACAACTTATACACCACGACACACAACTTATACACCACGACACGCAACTTATACACCACGACACACAACTTATACACCACGACACACAACTTATACACCACGACACGCAACT